ATCTGCATGGCACTTTACTCCAATTGGCTCATTCGCTTGCTTAAACTCAACGTTGATTCTGATTCCGCAGAACTGGGTTGGGTGTGAAAAGGTATTTGTTGTTAACATTCTTTTTTCATTCAGTTTTTCCAGTTATGAGTCCTTTTTTAAAGCTGGTCATTTTGTGTTCATTTTGTTTAGTTCTTTTTTCGTAACAGATTTAATGTTTAGTATAGAGCTTAGAAAAAAATTCGCAGTGTGAGATAGGCAAGAAGTAAGGCACGTAGCAACATCAGCACGGAAAAGGGCACTCCTTTAAAGGCAAGGAAGGGCAAAAATATTTTAAGTCAAGTGATAGCGATTGCTGTATGAGTCGTACGATTTTTGAATCAAGCACAGGCAACGATGGGTCATGCTGCTAGTGTCTTATAATAATCTTTGTCCAAGATTTTTAACTAAAATTCCAAAGGTTCTGAAAAGGATCAGAAAATGTAAATTAATAATCAAAAAATCCTTTGGTCTTTCCTCTTAATAATAACATAAACGTTTTGACGAGAAAACTGTTTTAAGTTTGGGGCATTTTTTCATCAGTGTATGCTAATTTTTATTTAATCAGTGGTGGTAGCTACATATAGGTTACCGCCAAAATCATACGCATTTTCGACCTGTAAAAAAATACCCCCCATCCCGATTTTGTCCTTTTTTTTTTTTTTTTGTTAAATTATCAAAAATCAGCGAATTATCCTACTTCATTGAAGTTTTCAGCATTTATTCATTAATGGATGAAGTTTATATTGAATTTTATCTTTCTTTTTTTTTGCACAAGTATTTTTAGGTCAGACATACCCCTTTTTTAAATTGTACTGATGAATTTTGCATGCTCCTAATATTTATTTTATCTATTTATTTATAGTGAAGTTCACCCTTAGCTGGAGGTACCGTGGAATAATGGATAGCGGCTCGGATATAGGAATCGGAGAGTTTCGAATTCCATTACATTCACTTACGTGCTAATACCCTTAGGTATTAATCCTCCTCTTCTCCCGCCAGCTATGGGTAAATAGCAGGACATACCGGGTTCTTGGATGTCAACTGGTCTACCGCAGTAAGAAATAGCAACCTGCTGCGGGAAAAAAATCTGCGTGTAACAAAAAACTAAGCGTGTATCACGCATGGCGCATAACTGTCACACTGTACAAAGATCAGGGCCCAATCGAGGTATAGGGTTACATTAAATGGCAGTTTATGCGGATACGAGAAGATAAAGGTTAAGTTTAGGCTTGAACAGGTTAAGATTGCAGTGATCAGGACAACGTACTCTTAGGAGTCGGTTTCACAGGGCAGTGGTTCGCGGGAAGAAGCTGTTTGAGTGGAATTTACTTCTCACCAATGGAATACGGAGGGAATGTGGGTGGATTGTTACAATGTGGGTGGCATGGCGTGTCCTGGTCGTGAAGGTTTTAATATCGTAAAATAAATTATATATATATATATATATATATATATATATTATAAAAACTGCAGTCTGAAGTTATTATGCAAATTAAACTAATATCATCATAATCATCATCAGGTCGTGAATTCTTCTCGGGTTCTCCTGACTCGTTCCTTCCAACCATCTCTGTCAGACATCGCTGTCGGCAGGTCCTCCAAATGGCACCCAGAGTCATCTACAAGTTGGTCAATGTAGGTACGATGAGGTCTTTCAACAGATCTTTTGCCGCGCAATGGGTTTCATAGGAAGGTGTCACTCACATGTTAAGATTGTCAGATACTTATTCTTCGACTTCTTCAGGTTGAGAATTCTTCACGGGTTCTCCTGACTCGTTCCTTCCAACCATCTCTGTCAGACATCGCTGTCGGCAGGTCCTCCAAATGGCACCCAGAGTCATCTACAAGTTGGTCAATATAGGTGCGATAATGTCTTCCAACGGATCTTTTGCCGCGCAATGGGTTCCATAGGAAGGTGTCACTCACATGTTAAGATTGTCAGATACTTATTCTTCGACTTCTTCAGGTTGAGAATTCTTCACGGGTTCTCCTGACTCGTTCCTTCCAACCATCTCTGTCAGACATCGCTGTCGGCAGGTCCTCCAAATGGCACCCAGAGTCATCTACAAGTTGGTCAATGTAGGTGTGATGAGGTCTTCCAACGGATCTTTTACCGCGCAATGGGTTCCATAGGAAGGTGTCACTCACAAGTTCTTACTTCTCCAGGAGTGACCAGCTAGCCGAGGCGTTCTCTCTCTTAGCGAAACTGAGATAGGAGGAAGGTGGTCCTTACAGGCGATTCTTTGTTGGGAGTTTCTTCCAGCTGATGTCCAATGCAACTCGTAACATCCTTGTGTATGTTCCGTCAAGTAATGCTTCTTGGTGTTTCGCCAGTTGTTGATCCATAGAGCAAGACAGATTCTACCGTGGCCTTAAAGGAGTCCCTCTTAAGATTGTCAGAGAGGGAGGACTTCCAGATGGTGCTCAGACCATCAAGGACACTCCAGGCCTTGCCTTTGGGGATTTTGATGTCTTTCTCCGTTGACTGGATGTTGCTGGCGAGGTAAACAAACGGACGGATTTGATGTTGTTGCCATGTTTCAACTTAATTTCTCCTTCTTGGTTGTAGCTGATAAATTCTATTCTGCCAACATTAATGTACAGACCAATCTCGCTTGCCGCTTCTTCGATGAGATGGAGAAGTTTGGTAGCCTTATCAATCGTGTCTGACAACAAGGCAAGTTCATCTGCGTAATCTACTATTTTTTAATAGTAATCTGTTATTGTCTTTGCTGGATGACGTGAACTTCTTGATTTTTCAAGGGTGAACACCAGATCTGTGTTTAGATCAGCAGATGTTCGCAGGGCGTCATCTAGCCACGGAATGAAAAGGAAAGGGGCAAGCGTATCTCGCTGCAAGATTTCCGCGACAACGTTGAATAACTCCGTATGTACATCAGGGGATCGGGCCATTGAGCGAGGGTTCTTATACAGCATCATGATGGGATCCCATATGCTAACATGATCTCTTCAGATGACAGTTCCTAAAATATCAGTTTAAGGCCTCAGAAAACAAATAAAAAATATTTTTTTCCATAATTTATGTTGAATCATGGATAATGGAAAGGATGTAATAAATGCTGAGAAACAGAAAATAACACAGTTATTGATTGAGGGAATGTCCACATTGGAGATATCAAAGGAGCTTTGCAGAGATCATCAAACGACAAAGAGAGCTATTGAAAATATAACTAATCTTATACTAAAAACATAGGAAAAGATTGACCTTGTTTTTTTTTCTCAACGGGAACATAAACTAAAGCTAGTTATAGCGAAACAATCCCTTTTGACGAGTGCTCAGATCTTACAATAGGCTGGAAGTCAAGAAGGACAAAAGATATAGAATGCTTTACAAATTGGAATCTGTCAATAACTCTCCTAGCCATACTCTTATCAGCAAATCAAATATTTTAAAGCGTCAAAATTAGGCCAAGAAATATATGAAAATTAACTTTTCTAAAGTAATTTTCACGGAGGAATATCGGATGACGCTCGATGAATCTGATTGATGTGACAAAGAATGACTTTTATCCGATTCAGATGTTCCTATGGCTAAAAGAAGGCATCAGAGTGATGATAAGGACTGGGGTTGTCGACCAAACCATTATTTTACCATTAAAAATCGACAAGGGCGTTAAACTGATTAGTGCTAACTATTGCAATTTCAAGGACATGACTTTCTTTGGAAAGTTCAAGTCCGAGTCTCGCAATTTCAAAATGGCGCGGTTCTCATGTATCTAAGGTTACCCGTGAAATTTTTGAGCGTAAAATGTTTGCAGGAGAGGAGATAAGGGAATGGCCACCAACAAGTTCCGACTGAAAATCTATGGTCAACTGTGACGATAAAATTATATAAAGGAGGTAAACAATATGACAGCAAATCAGATCTATGGGAAGCAATTAAAACCACCAAGTCGGAAATTTAACCTGATGAAGTAAAAAAGAAATTAACAAAATCAATGGATAATAGATTGTCGACTGTTATTGTGAAGAAGGGTCAATATATTAAGATGTAAATGCTTCAAAGACATCATATATGTTTGTTATTTGTTCTGAGGTGCTGATCAGTTGTTGATAGTTGAACCTATAGACCCCAGTCTATCCTGCTATTTACCCATAGCTGGGGGGAAGAGATAGATTCATAGCTTTATCAAGAATATTAGCACATAAGCGAATGCAATGAACTCGACTGGAATTCGAATTCGGCTCTCTGATTCCTCAATATCCATTACTCTCCCGTACCTCCTGGATATTATTAACTTACAAGAATGCTATTCGGAGTTACATTTATTCGTTGTGGTTTAAAATTGTCGAATAAGCGATTTATTTATTTTAGAGATAGATCGATACTGCTGCAGATATGCAAGCTTGATATGGACAGATGCGTGCCTACTTCAGAGAGAAGGCCGAAAGTGCCTACCGGAGCAAGACACGAGTTTGAAAGTCAATTAGATTTTCCCACTTAACCTCGTCAGTGGCTTTAGCGACACTTCAAAGCATCGTGGAAATAAGGACTCGACACAAAGTTCGCGTCCAAACAAGAAACGGTAAAATTAATTTTCTATTGCCCCTGCCCTCTGCCATTTTCGGTCCGTAATCCGTAGCTAATAACAGATTGGGAAAGCTGAAGACATCTGTTTGGTTCTAAGGTATGCGCCCCTCCAGCTGTTACCACCTCCACCTCTTGTCGATTGGTTCGACCTGGCTTTCATCTTAATATCAGTGATACGGTTGACTGATCGCTGACTCTTTTAAGTTGACGAATGATACCGCAAAATAAATTGGGATATAACCAGCCCTGGCTGAATGCCTTTGAGTCGAGAGATATTTCGTTTGCTTCATCTTAGAAAATTTTGCTTAAGTTAGTTTGGGATTAGGTCTGAGTCGGATTGTGTATTTCAGGTAAACAAAGATATGAAACATCGGCCACTTTCATTTTTACACACACACACACACACACACACACAAACTCTCGTAAAATACACGTGACTGACAGATAGATAGATAGATAGATAGATAGATAGATAGATAGATAGATAGATAGATAATGATAACGTGATTGTCGCAGATTTTACAAGCACGTTAAAGTAATCACTGCTAGAAAGACTGTACAGTACTGAGAGTGGAAACGAGAAGAAGGTTGCATCCGAAGAAATTTTGCAACCTGTCTAGTCTCCAAGAAGATAGACAGACAGACAGTGAGAGAGAGAGAGAGATATTAACAGAATGAGATAGATAGATAGATAGATAGATAGATAGATAGATAGATAGATAGATAGATAGATAGATAAACAAAATGTGATAGATAGATAGATAGATAGATAGATAGATAGATAGATATAAACAGAATGTGATAGATAGATAGATAGATAGATAGATAGATAGATAGATAGATAGATAGATATGAACAGAATGAGATAGAGATGAACAGAATAGGATAGATATATAGATAAAGAGAGAGAGACCGAGACAGGCAGAGCTAGATATGAACAGAACGAGATAGATAGATAGATAGATAGATAGATAGATAGATAGATAGATAGATAGATTTCACTTGTACTTTATCATTCAAATGCTTACATACATACATACATACATACATACATACATACATGCTTCTCGTCCCGACCAAGAATAGATTCCTAAATACATTCTGATGGCTGATCATTTTGTCAGATTTTGGGAAGTAAGTTGGAACGATAACTTTTCAGCACCCCTTCATACTTATATATATGATGGCTGTCGACTCGTTAAAAGAGTGTGAATAATTCTGACAAGTTTGATCAATGTTTTTGCTTCTCGTGAGAAGGACAACGCCTCTTGAAGCCAACAGTGACTTGCTATACTTATTGCAGATGTGGCAAACTAAGTTGTTTTGTACAGGTCCTGACATGTTTTGTAAGTCTGTTCAAATCTTGCTCATGAGTTTTAATGTGACGGGTGAGACCGGAGCGATTACTGCAGGTTTTATGACACATTTTATGAAGTTATTTACAGCATAATGCAGATAGTAATTTGTCAAAGGTCTACCAATACGATTCTTATTGTGGCTAACGAGGTCTGCATTGGAGAGGCATACCGTAATTCCCCATGTATAATACATATTTTTTTCTAAAAAAATAATATGCAAAATTATGGGTGCGTATTATACACAGCTATAAAAGAATCTTTAAAAAATTGCCGTTTCATAGGTCGATTTTAGTTGTGAAATGACTACTCAACACAAACATATGACAATTTGACGTTAACATTCGCCGATTGCGACCCCATAAGGATGTCAAATACAATCATATGTACCTAGCAATACTTACAAATATAAAATGAAATAAGAATTATCATAAAACTAAATTAGAATAGTATTATATGTTTAAAACCATTTTTAATAAGAGTAGGAAACGCTGACCGTAATGAAATTGGTGAGGTACAATTTATAGGGTTTGATTACCAAACAAGGAGTACGTAGTATACGTGAGTAGAAGCATTTTCCCACACTTTCAGCACAATTTCAGGAGTGCGTATTATGGATGAAGGAGTATTATACATGGGGAATTACGGTACACTGCTATATAAATACATACATACATGATGGCTGCCGCCTCGTTTTCGAGTATGACCATCACATAATATTATTGTAAGACTTAGTTGTGCTTTGAACGGATTTGATGTTTTAAACTGGACAAACTTTTCTCTATTCTCGTGTATAAATTAATGAAATATAAGGATTGCGTGATAATTGTTTTATAGATAAGTTCTTAGTTTTTGTCAAAATAAAACAAATACACTAGTTACTGAAATGTTATCTTTTACTTTGAAAAATGCACACATAGCTCATTTTAAGGTGTTTTTTTTAAAGATATGTACTCTGGCCCCAAATATTTTCCCTGTAGTTTATAAATATAAATGATCTTAACTTTTTCATCTCCCCTCCTCGTGTATAAAAATAAAATAAATTGCCTGAATTATATTTTAGTTTTCCTTCGCTTTATTTTTCATTTGTAGGAGACAACGCAACTAGTCTTAAAATCGAAATAAGTAGTAAAAATTCCTTAAAGAAGGGCGGTTACATCCTGACCCTACCTTGAAAGCTCTTAGTTTACCTCCACACTTCTAACGTCTCCTCCTAAATTCATAAATTTTATTTTCTATTTTTTTTTTTAAATTTAAACTTGTGCTTTTTTTCAGTGGGTGTAGATAGGTTTGCCAGGATAATATATCTCCCCTGTCTTTTGAACAGAAACAGAGGTTTATGCTTTGTTTCCTGTTTAGAACTGGGTTTGCGGTTCTTCCTTCTAAAGTCTTCTCATTGTATTTCACTCCCAGTAAATCTTTGCGTAAAAGAATTGCGTCGTAATAGTCTTATTCATAAATACAAAGAACGTACAATCGATCGAACGAGCGAACGAATGAATGGACGAACGACGCACAGTGAAAGAGAAAGAACGAAGGAAAGCAAGAAGCATATGGAAAAGAAAAGAAAACTATTTTACCCTTATTATAATGGAATGTTCCACTCTCCCTATTACCTATTGTGAACTGACCATGTCAGTAATATATGTAGTGTGCACAGGACATACCAGAGTCCGCCGCTCACTTTCTGAGCGAACGGTTTGGTTTAACTCTCTGTCTACGGACGGAGAGGAACCCGAAGGAGGCTACGCCGAAGGGCGGAGTCTCCTTCGGGAGGTAAATCAGCCCTGAACCCGTTTATACGGGTTCAAATGGGCTATTTTTTGGCCGAGCCAAATGGCTCGGAAGCCCACGTTAAAAAGGCCTTGTGCCACATGACGCCCTCGTGGGGGGACGACTAAATATAGTCCGCCGCTCACTTTCTGAGCGACGGTTCGGTTTAACTCTCTGTCTACGGACGGAGAGGAACCCGAAGGAGGCTACGCCGAAGGGCGGAGTCTCCTTCGGGGAGGTAAAACCGGCCCTGAACCCGTTTATACGGGTTCAAATGGGCTATTTTTTGGCCGAGCCAAATGGCTCGGAAGCCCACGTTAAAAAGGCCTTGTGCCACATGACGCCCTCGTGGGGACGACTAAATATAGTCCGCCGCTCACTTTCTGAGCGACGGTTCGGTTTAACTCTCTGTCTACGGACGGAGAGGAACCCGAAGGAGGCTACGCCGAAGGGCGGAGTCTCCTTCGGGAGGTAAACCGGCCCTGAACCCGTTTATACGGTTTCAAATGGGCTATTTTTTGGCTGAGCCTAATGGCTCGGAAAGCCCACGTTAAAAAAGCCTTGTGCCATGACGCCCTCGTGGGGACGACTAAATATAGTCCGCCGCTCACTTTCTGAGCGAACGGTTCGGTTTAACTCTCTGCTTTCGGGCGGGAGGAACCCGAAGGAGGCTACGCCGAAGGGCGGAGTCTCCTTCGGGGAGGTAAACCGGCCCTGAACCCGTTTATACGGGTTCAAATGGGCTGACCACGGCCGAGCCAAATGGCTCGGAAGCCCACGTTAAAAAGGCCTTGTGCCACATGACGCCCTCGTGGGGACGACGAAATATAGTCCGCCGCTCACTTTCTGAGCGACGGTTCGGTTTAACTCTCTGTCTACGGACGGAGAGGAACCCGAAGGAGGCTACGCCGAAGGGCGGAGTCTCCTTCGGGAGGTAAACCGGCCCTGAACCCGTTTATACGGTTTCAAATGGGCTATTTTTGGCTGAGCCTAATGGCTCGGAAAGCCCACGTTAAAAAGGCCTTGTGCCACATGACGCCCTCGTGGGGGACGACTAAATATAGTCCGCCGCTCACTTTCTGAGCGAACGGTTCGGTTTAACTCTCTGCTTTCGGGCGGGAGGAACCCGAAGGAGGCTACGCCGAAGGGCGAAGTCTCCTTCGGGAGGTAAACCGGCCCTGAACCCGTTTATACGGTTTCAAATGGGCTATTTTTTGGCCGAGCCTAATGGCTCGGAAATGCCCACGTGAAAAAGGCCCTGTGCCACATGACGCCCTCGTGGGGGACGACTAAATATAGTCCGTCGCTCACTTTCTGAGCGACGGTTCGGTTTAACTCTCTGTCTACGGACGGAGAGGACCCGAAGGAGGCTACGCCGAAGGGCGGAGTCTCCTTCGGGAGGTAAAAACTGGCCCTGAACCCGTTTATACGGTTTCAAATGGGCTATTTTTGGCTGAGCCTAATGGCTCGGAAAGCCCACGTTAAAAAGGCCTTGTGCCACATGACGCCCTCGTGGGGGACGACTAAATATAGTCCGCCGCTCACTTTCTGAGCGAACGGTTCCGGTTTAACTCTCTGCTTTCGGGCGGGAGGAACCCGAAGGAGGCTACGCCGAAGGGCGGAGTCTCCTTCGGGAGGTAAACTGGCCCTGAACCCGTTTATACGGGTTCAAATGGGCTATTTTTTTTGCCGAGCCTAATGGCTCGGAAATGCCCACGGTAAAAAGGCCCTGTGCCACATGACGCCCTCTGGGGGACGATTAAATATAGTCCGCCGCTCACTTTCTGAGCGAACGGTTCGGTTTAACTCTCTGCTTTCGGGCAGGAGGAACCCGAAGGAGGCTACGCCGAAGGGCGGAGTCTCCTTCGGGGAGGTAAAATGGCCCTGAACCCGTTTATACGGGTTCAAATGGTCTATTTTTTGGCCGAGCCTAATGGCTCGGAAATGCCCACGTTAAAAAGGCCTTGTGCCACATGACGCCCTCGTGGGGGGACGACTAAATATAGTCCGTCGTTCACCTCTGAACCGTCTGTTTCGGTTAAACTCTTTGCCTTCGGGCAGGGAGGAAACCGAACGAGGCTACGCCGAAGGGCGGAGTCTCTTTCAGGGAGGTAAACCGACCCTGAACCCGTTTATACGGAGATCCCACATTAAATAACCGGTCTTGTGCCACATGATGCCCCAGTGGGGGGGGCTGAATATCGTCTGTCTGTCTCTCTGACTGGCTTCGGGAATTGTTATTCGATTCCCTGTATTTCAGTAGTGTATTCTCTTTTACAGTAAACCTCTCTTTCTTCCATCTACGTCGGTGTTGCTGTTCCTTCCACTCGAGTACCACGTTTGTCTGTTTGGGACCTTTTTAAGGATACAACAGCCGGCTAAAACAACAAGTGGCATTATCGCCTTGATTGGGGTGAAATTATTTTTTTTTAAATCTAACCAAAACACCGAAAAGTTTACTGAGCTTTCTAATAGCATTCCAGGTTACTTCGATGTACTGTAATGATGTGCAAGATTGTCTTGCTATATCGAGTACTGAGTTCGATCCTCACTCGATGCCCCATACTTTCGGCCCTGTGCCACATGTAAGCTACGCTTAGAAAATTTCCTTTCTAATAGAATTTCAAAGTTTGTCTTTGTTGGTAAATTGCCATCAGTCAATATAAACGATAATTTTCATATTGCTCCACTTGTTTTCAATTCAGTTATGGCCACGCGAATAAAGCCAATCACTTTATCAAATCTTGAAACCTATTTACATATTAACACGTTTCTTCTCCGAATTTGAGGTTATCGTTGCCAGGTTGAAAGATCAGCATCTCACTGAAAGTAGATGGCCAAGTGACGCCATGAGTAGGACTTTAGGCATTTCAAAACTTTGCATCTCTTGGAGCATTATCAGTTATCGTATTTGCCGGCTTATTGGACGCTCCCACACATTGGACGCACCCAGATTTTGGCATGGAATATTTAGGAAAAAACTGTACACGTCACAACCAAACAAATAAAAATTATAACCTTACTTTTATGTGACATTCTCACTAACCATGAAGAAATACTTACAATATTAGCACAAATTATGCAACTGATATTTTTTTAAAATAGAAGTGAGGTAAGGTTTAATTACCTGGACATTTTTTTAAAAAAGAAGAATTTTAGCGCATTTCATAATGCATTTATTGAAAATTGTTTTAGTTACAACATCTGCACATACAGTAAAGTCATAATAGCTACAAAGAAATCTACGGTATCAGTGAACACTGGTACATATGATTATCGGTAAAAAAACAGAAATATGGTACTTTTGATAACTGATGGCCCCTGCTACACATGCAGAAAAGCAAATTCCAATACCTGTATATAAACACACACACACACACACACACACACAAAGCAAGCAGTAATATACCAGTCAAAGCAAATATTTCTGTAAAATCTGGAATTTCTACAAAACAAGTAGCAAAATATTGTGACATTCCATAAAATTCTTAATTTCTTTTTCCCGAGTGAATTTTTATTCATATCATGTTTGTTCACTTCCAGTGGTCCTACAGGGTATCTAGTAAAAAAAGCGGTAAATTTATTATCAGCGTTTTATCTTTGAAGAATAATTGACCTTGAATAACCTTGACTAAATATCTTGAATATTCATGACCTTGAATAATCATTCGACTCTTGCGTAATTACTTAACTGCTGCTCGATCTTGTGACTCGTCATTTAAAGGTTATTTGCAGACAACTTTCGTCTTTCGTTCTGTCTTTCTCCTATGGCTAAACAACTCACTGATTTTGAGCGTCAATTTATCGTACATTTCAAAGAAGAACATCCGACATGTGGAGTGACGAAAAGTGCAGAAATTCTTCCTGAAATTTTAAGTCACATCAATCGTCACGAGTTTTCAACGGTAGTCCCAGGTCTTTTTGAATTTATCTCTTTTTACTGGGTAGGCTATAGTTTCAGAGCCACGCTCTATTCGTACACTGGTAAACACAGCATTTATTGTGATTATCATGTCTTTCGATACATGATTGACGAGGAAGATTATATAGGTTGCCATTTCTTTCAGCGGTAGACCAGTTGCCATCCAAGGCTATAGAACCCGGTCTGTCCTTCTATTTATCCATAGCTTGGTGGGAAGAAGAAGAGGATTCATACCTTTCCCAAGGGTCAGTCAGTTATGTGTCATGCGTGATACACGCTTAGGTGATCATGTCTCTTTCGATACATGACTGACAAGGCAGATTTTTCCCGCAGTAGGTTGCCATTTCTTTCTGCGGTAGACCAGTTGCCATTGAAAGCTATAGAACCCAATCTGCCCTGCTATTTACCCATATCTGGTGAGAGAAGAAGATGATTCATACCTTTCCCAAGGGTATTAGCACGTAAGTGAATGTTATTGATGTGACTGGAATTCGAACTCGACTCTCCGAATTCCAGGATTGAAGTTACCGTAGGTCGTTTCTTTTACATAATTACAGCTTCGAGCTTTTTGAATTATTTTTTGCAGCTTGTGGTGCATTGTTTATTAGTCTTATCTATGAATAATTGTCTTATGTTAATAATCTTATTTTTACTTTAATGTAATTATCGATGTGTACGAGATGAAATGAGGTCCGCGGAGTGATAAGTTAACGGAAAAGTGTGTGACTAATGCAAGAATTTAATGCTGCTGTTTTTTTGTTGTTTTATTATATAAGTGTTGGAGATGCAATCTTTCATAGAATAAGAGAACTCATAAGCAATAATGTTTTTACAAAGGTCTGCTTCTTGATGTTTCATGTTATAAGCACTGATTGGGTTAAACGTTATAAACTTTTTTGTAGTAAATTATAAATCTTAGATATTTAGTTTATTAGATGTAATACACGCATTAAGAGATATGCACTGACGAATTATATTCTTAATGGCTTTTTCATCTACTTTATAGTTGAGGTGCACCTGGTTACAATAAAAGAAGCTATATAAATAACATTTTTATTTTTATTTATATCAGAATATTTGTTGGTTTTTTTTTTATTCTTTAAAGCGATTTATATTTTCTCGTCAACAACATAGTTTCACAAACATTGGCATTGATAGCATTAGCATTCCTGGCTGAAAAAACTAAAACTAAGATGACTAAAAAAACTAAAAAAAAATAAGTAAAGGTGGTTGAAAGAACTAAAAAAAAAATGAAGAAAAATACATGAAAGATTGTGAATAGATTCTTTACAAATAGAATTAAACAGTTGCTTATATATATATATATATATATATATATATATATATATATATATATATATGTTATGGCCCGGTTCCTTGTACCACGGTGATAGTCCAAGTAGAACCAATAAAGAACTCGAACACAGGTATGGAATAACACAGATATATTACAAACAGAAATATATACAGAGAAGTAGAAGTGTTAGTATGAACAATCAGGTTCAGTAGAGAGAACAATGTAGTCTCGACCAGTATCACGATTCCAATGTCTTGCAGTAATTGTCTGAACGCGACTCTGTTTCGGACTGCCTCTGAGTCGACTCTTGACTCGACTTGAACTACCGACTCCTTGCCTACTCCTGAAGCGCAGTATTTATTAAGTATGGAATAGTCCATTATTATTATTATGGGTAAGATCCCATAACAATATATATATATATATATATATATATATATATATATATATATATGATAAAAATATAGTTTTAAGGCGTGGTATATTTATAGGTAAAAGTGCTCAATATGAGAGACAAATCGTATGTAAATATAAAATATACACTGAAGTCAACAGAAAGCATCGACAGTCTGTTTTATGCATGAACGCAATCTTCAGGCTATATATATATATATATATATATATATATATATATATATATATATTGATCGAAATCGCCTGAAGTTACCGATAGGTTGAAACCAAGGTAGCGGAATCAGGTGATTTCCTAATATATATATATATATATATGTGTGTGTGTGTGTGTGTGTGTGTGTGTGTGTGTGTGTGTGTGTATTGGGAGTGGCCTTGAATTTCTCATAACTAACGTATACACACACACATATACCCTCTCATTCTCTCTCTCTCTAACACACACACACATACACACACACGCACACACACACACACACATATATGATAAAATATAGTTTTAAGCTATGCTATACTTATTGGAGAAGGTGTTCAATATCAAGAATAGAGTTTATATATATATATATATATATATATATATATATATATATATATATATATATATATATATATGCATGTATGTATTATATATATATATATATATATATATATATATATGTGTGTGTGTGTGTGTATTAGGAGTGGTCTTGAATTTCTCATAACTAACGTATACACACACACATACTCTCTGTGTCACACACACACACACATATATATATATATATAATAAAAATATAGCTTTAAGCTATGCTATACTTATTGGTGAAGGTGTTCAATATCAAAAATACAGTTTATGTAAATATAAGTCACACTAAGGTCAATACCGTGCAGAGTCTATTTCATGCTTGAACGCAATATATATATATATATATATATATATATATATATACGTGTTCAAATTCATGTTAAGGAACAGTGATCAAACCAAACTCCTAAAAAATTAAATCGGTTACACTACTACATGCCTATCCAGACTCCTTACGTTACACCTATCCGACCACAGCTCTATTAGTACTCATCTACACACACAGAAACCTACCTGACTCAATCTGAAACGCACTAGTAGAAAATACAAACATAATAACCTCATCCATATGTAAAAAAGGATTTAAAATAATGGAATCCCTAAAAATAAAAAAGAACAATGCTAAAACTTAATAACATTAGCTATGAACACGGCCACAATGTACTGACCGTGTCTGGAAAATAAAATATTTCAAAACTCTGGATCCATACATAACATAATCCATACATTCAGTTAAAAGTAAAAATAAAATCATCCTTGATAATGGCTAAAAGTACAGCCAAAATAACTCGGATATGCAGAACTTTTGGAAAGTTTTTACACACATTGTTTCCAGAAAAGAAAACACTTGTACGAACTCAAGAAAATTAAATAAAAACTCAATCGCAATACCTTGTCAGTCGTCTTTAATGAAACATACTCACATATATATATATATATATATATATATATATATATATATATATATATATATATATATATATATAATATGTGAAAATATATAGAAAATAGGAAGGAACTGGTTAGGTAAATAATCCAAAGTCCCTTAGTATTTTAGTTATTATTTTTAAAAATATTGCTCGATACAAAAGTGGAGCATAAATATAATTATTTATTTAAAAATATGATTCCAAATCGCGACATAAGAAGTCTCATCTTTCAAAACAAGAGCCGAAAACTTCAATATAATTATTTAAATTAAATTGAGTTAAATAAGCAAAAAAAATTTCGCTTGAAGATGGAACAGAGCTTATTTTAACTCAATTTAATTTAAATAATTATATTGAAGTTTTCGGCTCTTGTTTTGAAACATGGGACTTCTTATGTCGCGATTTGAAATCATATTTTTAAATAAATAATTATATATATTTATATATATATATATATATATATATATATATATAATATAATATATATATATATATATTAGTCAATATACATAATATCCAATGTCGATAGAACAACTCGGAGTTCCATGCATAGGTGCGAAATACCGACTAACCGTTATGCTCGACAACCCAGGAAGGCAATCCATCTGGGAGAATGAAAACCCTGATTTTAAACCTCCGCTAACTTGCGATTATATGCTGTAGAAATAAATCCAGACAAAAATTGACTGACAGGTTTCCGGCAATTCCTGCAGCCAACCCGTCCGCAAATGTAATACCCTGTGGTCCTTTGAATCCTGTGGTCTGGACAGCGCACGGCCTCCATAATACCATCACCCAGGCCGTACCTCTGGAGATGTTACCCCAGTCCCACAAACCAAAGGACTGAATTTTGACCAAACAGGGCGCTACCTTTATCTAACGCGAGGAACGGATGTCTACTAAAAGAATCTACCATTCTTCCGTGCATTGAATATTTTTGTCATATCTGGTCTGGTGTTCCTACTCTACATCTCGAGATTCTTGACAAAATTCAAAGAAGAGTCTGTAATTTAATTGATCCGAACCTGGCAGCTTTTTCCTTTATGCAAATATTTTCATGGCTACTGTTCTGATGAACCTTTATCTTTGGTGACCCGACTGCATGGATTTAAGCGTGCTACTAGATTGACAACTAGATCACACTGTTTTACTGTTGAACTAGCTCGGTGTAACTGCCACTTCTACATTAAGTTTCTTTTCTCGTACTTCTCACTCGTGGAACTCCCATCCGACTTCTTGCTTCCCAAAATTTTCAAAAATTTGTATGTAATGTCAATCGTCACCTTCTGCTTTCTTGAACCCTGTTCTTATTTGTTTGTCCTCTACTCAATCGTCCCTATTCTCAGTCTTCTCTTTCCCTTTCACTCCCTGTAACCAACATGTGTGCTAGAGAATCGTCATCTTCCGTCTTCTTGAACCCTGTTCCTTGTTTGTCCTTTTCTCAATCACCCACACTAAAATCTTATTATTCTCTTTCACCCCTCGTAACCCTCTGCGCTCTCGTGCTATTAGCGCCTTTCTTGAGGTGAAACGCCTAAAACAAAAACGAAACCATTCCGAAGCAGTCGATGGTTGTACTAGCAGAAAGTCACAAGTCATTGTGACCGAGGATTTTAGTTGAAATGTTCTAATTAGAGATCACGCCAGATCAGGCGTTTTCTCCCAGAAAAATGTAACTAGTTGCAATATAAACCACACGTTGGCTGCATGGCTGTTGAAAACACCAAATGAGAGGACATCTGCAAAGGGAATTAACTAGCTACCCTAAGAAACAGGTAAACAGGAAAACGAGCAGACATCTAGATAGATATTGATAATCCTGTATGATAAACTTTGTCAAGGTAAATGTCCTCTGCATCATGTCACACAAACAGGAGAACTCCGCCATGGCTGTCAGACAATTTCTGCGACCACATCACCCCCGTACATCTGGCCACCTAACTCCCCAGACTGCAACGATGTGTGAGGCGCAGTTCAGCGAGAGACCAAGAAAACTCGTTGTAACATCAAAGATAAACTGACGGCGAAGATTCTGGCAGCATTCACCAACTGAAACAAGGAGTCCGTCCAGAAGAGTTGCAGGAGATTCCGAATCATCTGGAGGACGTGGATGAAACCAATGGCGATTTTATTGAATAAATTTACTCTTCAGTATTTGAAGATATTTTTGTGTGATTTTGGTAAATATATCTGTTAAAATGAGATGTCGGTGTTATTTTCATTTATTTAGATGACAATTTCTCCATCGCACCCCACATATATATATATATATATATATATATATATATATATATATATACACATACATACATATATATATATATATAGAGAGAGAGAGGCAGACAGACAGACAAACAGACAGACAGACAGAGAGAGACAGTAAGAGAGAGTGAGACGTGTGGGTGTGTGTAGGTAGATTCAAACATACCCTAATGTTTTAAAAAATGTCCCAAAGAATAAAAACAATGTTTTAGAGTCCAAATCTTTGTGCTATTAAGGAAAAAGGAAAGATCAAAGAATTTTTTATGTAATTTTTTTTTTTTTTAATCCTTTTTAGAACATTCGAAATTTTGGTTAAAATTTTTATTTCTTTGGAGTCAAAATCCGACCATACATTAGTATGGGAAATTTGAGCGTCTTTTTGCAGTGAAAAACACATTGATTTGGAAGTACTTTCCAAAAACAAGGAGGCCGTCCAGAAGAGTTACATGAGATTCCGAAGTCGTTATTGACGTAACTGTTTCAATAGAAAAAAAAATGTATATTTTCAAAAATGTTATACCACTAAAGAAAAGAGTATTGAACTGTTACATAATATCAGTCTTCCGATATGGTAGCAAATGCTGGAAATCGTTTCTGATCACTAAAATCTTAGCCCCTTCAAATCGAGAATCAACTGATATCTATCCTACACGTCCTCATAATATGTACTTCTCGTTCCTTTCTCTCCATTCCCTTA